ATCATGAATTTCCTAAATAATTATACTACAATTCTTCTGGTTTCAGATCCTTGTGATTGAAAGCCCCAGGAGTCTGGTGGACCCGGGACCAAGGTGTGATACCAGAAGTGCTACCACTGTATAACTCTTCTATACTCTCACATCATTCAAAACCACAAAGATAAGTTAGATTTCACAAAAAACACAAAACACAACACAGTGTATGTCAAAGGAAGCGTGTAAGAGCTTGAGAGTGAATACATCTCTGGCCTGCAGAGACTTATGCAAGAACCAATGTTCTTCTGTTTTCTGTGAAGATGAGTTTTGTGTCATGAAAAAAGGCAAAGATGACACTCAAAAGGGACATTTAGGCAACCGCTCTAACAGTTGTTCAACCAAACTTCAAAGCAGCTCCTAGAGCCCTCACAGCACAGAAGCACAGATTTTGGTCAGGATGAAGCTGTGCTAGAACCCAGCTTGCTGGGCAGCTTTTGCCGACTGAGCCTGCCACGGCTATGCTACTATTCACACTCAACTTCTTAGTCTCAAAAACTGCGTCCTTGGGCTGCAGCCACACATTTTGCTCCAGTTCAGACACACCTTCAGAGAAACTAAAAGAAAGGTTAAAGATCTGGACCCTATTTAAATCTTCTCATTCTGGCAGGTCAAAATGCCATGACTACAGCGACAAGAGTATGATGTTGTTATGGACTGTAAGCAAGAAGGAAGCTGAACAGACAAATCTGGGAAAGAAGGCTCAGATCTACGTTTCCGTTACGGTGAGCATGAACAGGGAGTTAAATATTGACTAAGCACTGGGGAGCCAGACAAGGTTGTAGTTATGTAGCAGATCATACACCAGATCTGCGACACATCATGAAAAGAATCTGGAAGGTAGAAACAACCCGCCTGAGTTATTTGTTAGTAGAAAAAAATCTTGGCGGGATCATAAGAAGTAACAGACACATCATTAGTAGCTTTTTATGCCTCTCTCTTTCGATATGTTTTAACCTAGATATTACAAATCAGACTACATCAAATTGAAGAGGAAAAAGATATTAACATAAAATGCTAAATATGAATAAAAAGTTTTCTTGTAAAGTTAAAGATAACCATGCAAGTGCTCCTATTAACCAGAATTAAGCACCAATTAAAAAGGAATAAGCTACAGTATATGTCACAGATGTACAACACAGGTCATCAAGCACACTAATGATGAATGACATAATGCAGAGTAAAGCACATACATACATGATAGAAAGTCATTAATGGTCAGGAATGTTTGTCTAGTTCCAACCAAAGAGTACAGACTTGAGAAAATGAGTCATTACTGACCACTATACGCTGAATTCCGCAATTTATATTAATGCTACAACAGTGCATTTGTGGGCCAGATTAGTTACAGTGATTGTTTAGGTGATTAATGAAGATGAATCTGGCTACTGCCTTTTCATTAGTTTCTTACAGGTATCACATTGTACGCCATTATATCTCTAATTACCTAAACAGCACAAACTAAGGCAATTAGATCTTACTGTTGCAGTAACTCCTAAGTACTGCAAGATGAAGTCTTTTTTCTATAGCAAAGTATACACTGGATCAACTATTTCAAATGAAACCACTTGAATTGACTTATTTTTCAACTGGCTTGAGTAGAACTCATGTTTTCCTGTCCTAGCATATCTTCTGCTTACTTGTTCCTCACTGTTAACGTCCATTTTGTTTCACAAGAAATAAAATGACAAATTAAAAAATTTTGTTTGCCCACAAACAGTTCTCTCAACTTGGTTAACTGTGGACCATGAATTGGCAAATATTAATAATACTCAAAAAAAAGAAGAGGGGATTTAAAACCAACAAGAATTTTTTTTGAAGGTACTTTGTGAACCAAGAAAAATGCATTTCTATTTTCTAATGCACGAGGTCTAATCTCTACTGCCATGCACACTGATATCATTTATGCCTTCACAACACATCAACAACATACCACCAGATCTAGCAGCACTTTGCAGTCTTTTTGTAGATGTGCAAAATAATTGTAAAGACAAAGCAAAGTTGACTCAGTATAGAAGAACATCCTTTCTGAAGTTACAAAACTAAAATATCATTATTTCCCCCCTCATTCCAAACCCACAAGTGTTTATTTAACTGCTGGAAGATAATGTAATTGGCAATGCAATTCTAATCAAGGTGTTTTACATACAGGATGGAGAAAGGTACTTGCATGCAGTCAGAGGCCAAACCAAGGAGAAGTAATTGGTGTGAGGATGTTGGCTGTATGGTTTCAGGGTTAAGGAGGCTCATGAGACCAAAAAAACCAGGCTACAAAGGGTGAGAAGCAGGAGAAGGTTAACTGTGGGAAAG